TGGAGCCCACATACTTGGGCCTCTGCTGCTTTCTCGGGTGCATTACTGGAGCTGGATTGGAAGTGACACAGCTTGGCTTAAACCAGGTCTCATATGGGATGCTGTGTCCAAGAGAGCAGCTTGACCTATTGTGGAGTTTCTTATCTTTTTCTGTGAAAAATACCACTGGATTTTGAAAGACTTCCAATGAATTGTTGTAAGACTTTTGATAATTGTTGAAAATCTAACTGCATTCATTCTTGTGATTCTTGAGCTTGAAATGTCCTCTCAAATGAATTTGAATCTTCCCCAATTCCTTTTATCAGCATTTTATGGTATTCTGCTTGCAGATTTTACATCTCTTTGATTAAATTCTTAAAGTTTTTACTTTAATTAAGTTTTTACCAGTATGACTAGTGGAAATTACGTCTTGACTTTTTTCTGATACTTTGTTGTTAGTGTACAGAAAAGATGCTGATTTTGTATGCTGAACTTACAACCTGCAACTTTAGTGATTTTTTTATTATAACAGATAAGGGTGGAGTCTTCATTGCTTTTCTTTTAAAAATTTTTTTAGTGCTTTGCTTATATAATATCATGTGTCTGCAATTCTATTTTCTTCTTTCCAGTTTAGAAGACTTTCACTGTCTTCCGTTTCCTAGTCCCAATGCTGTGTGAGACAGAAGTAGCAAGGTGGGCTGCCATCCCTTCTCGGCCTTTCTGCTGAGATCCGTTGAAAGGGTGGGCTTCTCTGTTTTGTTCCTGATCTTACAAGAAGAGCTTTAAGTCTTTACCATTAAGTATACCACACGTGGGTTTTTAGTATGTGGCCTTTATTGTGTAGAGGAATTTTTTTTTTCCTTACCTATTTTGTTGAGATATTTTTCTTTAAAACCATAGAAGGCTGTGCATATTGTCAAGGTCTTTCACGCATCTGTTGAGTTGATCGTACGATTTCTGTCCTTCATTTTGTTCATGTGATGTTTCCACTTCCAAATTTGCATAAGTTTGATCACACTGCTTCTCTTGGAGGGCATCACCGGATGGTGGAGAGATCCTTTAGATACGTGTTGCATTTGGGTTTTTTGCTTGTTTGTTTCATTTTTATTTTTCTTGATACGGTTCCAGAGGCTCAAGGAATTCCCCTTCCACCCTCCTCACTCCCCTACTGTTTTCCAAGTCCGTTATTCTGCTATTTAAGTAAAATAAGCCCATCCGAAAAAGACAAATGCATGTTATTTTGTATAAAGCAACTTTCATGCAAAATATAAGATTAAAGATAAATAACTAAACAGCTATACACATATGTTCATCAAGGAGTGAAGATGGGCTGCAGTGTGCATTGCTACTACCAAATAAAGAAGGATTTCCAGCGAAACTGATCAATATATCTTGACAAAAGGATACTTAAATAGCAGAAAGTGTGTTGAATTGGCTTGGCCAGTATCATGCCGAACTTGTTTGTGTCTGTGTTCATTAGGGATATTGACTCGTATTTTGCCAAGTTTTGGTGTCCAAGTAATGTTGATCTCGTAGGAGGAGCTGGGAAGGATTCCCACTCCAGTTGTCTTGGGGATTAGTGTGGGGGCGAATTGAAGAAGAATCGGTGCTAGTTTTGTCCAAGCATTAGCTGGAATCATCAGATTCTGGGCTCTTCTTTGATGAGAGAGAGATTTCGGTGACTGCCTCAGGCTCATTGTGCTTTCCTGGTCAGCTCAGATCGTCTCATGCTTCCTGATTCTGTATTAGAACGTTACGAGTGTCTAGGAATTTACCCATTTCCCTGCATTTTCTTACTTTGCAGTCATGCAGTTGCATGCAGCCATCTCTCAGGATCCTTTGTAATTTTCTACTGGCTTAATCTAGTTGGAGGTTTATCTGATTTGTCTGTTCAAAAAGCATGGTGGTCCTTGTGCTGCTTGTTTTCCTGGTTTCTGTCTCAACTGTGTCTGCTCTGATTTTTTTGATTCCTTCTTGCTGCTAAGGTTGGGTTTGGGTTGTTCTTCTTTCTCAGTTTCTTTTTATACTGTTCGCTAGAGTGCTTATTTGAAATCATTTTTCTTTTTTTTTTTATGTAGGTGCTTATGGCTTTCTCTCTTAGCACTTGGCTTAGTACTTCTCTCAAGTTTTGGTATACACATTCCTGAATTACTTGCATATATTTATTTACTCTCATGTTTTCATTTTACTTGAAGTGAGGATGGGGCAAGGACGAGAAAGAGAAAGAAAAAGAAAGGGAAGGAAGGGGAAGGAAAAGAGAGGGGAGGGCAGGGGAGTGGAGAGGAGGGGAGAGGAGGGAAAGCAGAGGAAGGGAGGGCTGTTCTTTTAATACCAAGTTCTCTCTCTAATGACTGCAACTGCCAGGAATGGGCCAGTCTCAGGCTTTTAGTCTGGAACTCAGTCCATGTCTCCCCATGCGGTGGTAGGGACCAAGGTTCTTGACTTATCAGCTCCTCACCCTGAGGTATGCTGTAGCAGGAAGCTAGAATTCAGAGCGAATCACCCCAGTAAGGGATGTGGGCACCCCAAGCATTGTCCTTACCACTACACCAAAGCTCACCCCTCAAGAAGGGTAATTTCAGTTTTCACTTTTAAGATTTTATTTTTAATTAACATTGAACAGGCTTGATGTGATCTATAGATGTAGTTCTAAGGTCCTCCCTCCCTTCTCATATCCTCCCTCTCTTCTCACCTCCTTTCAGTCCTTCCTTCTCCATTTCTCTGTCCCTTTTTTCTGGGTTTTTTTTTTTGTTACTATATGTTAGATTTACACTATAGCAAAAGGATTAACAATTCACTGCATACAAAGTTTACATATAAATGAAAAAAGGAAAAGACCTTAGTTTAGCAGGAATACAGTCAACACCTATGAAACAATTCTGAATAGAAAAATGACCATTTCACCCTTATACAGTATATCATAAATTAATTATACATCATTAAAACTATAGTATAGCATCCTTTTAAAAAAAGAAAAAAGTATTTGTTTTTATTTGAAGGTTGGAGTTTTACAGAGAGGAGACCGATAGAGGGAAGATCTTAGAGCCTCTGATTCACTCCCCAAATGGCCACAACTGAGCTGATCTAAAGCTGGGAACCTGGGGTTTCTTCCAGGTCTCCCATGTTGGTCCAGGGTCCCAAGGCTTTGGGTCATCCTCCACTGTTTTCCCAGGCCACAAGCAGAGAGCTGGACCAGAAGTGTAGTATCCTGGACACAAACCAGCACACATATGGGATGCCAGTGCCACAGGGTGGAGGATTAGCCTACTGTGCCCCCATGACAGTCCCAGTAGTATGACATGCCTAACTGGCTTGACTAAGATATACAACAAAGTTTTACAAAGCTGTATTTTCAGTGATGTTGATCCACACAAGAAGGTGTTTCTTGATTGTTCAGGAGTTTATTTAATTTTCATGTTTTTGAGAATTTTCTTTATTTCAAATAATTCCTGTTATTGATTTCTAGTTTCATTGTTTTGTTTTGTGGTTAGAGGAGATACTTGCTATGATGTCATTCTTTTTCAATTTATCGAGACTTGTCCTGTGGCCTACTTCCCTCCTGGCAACCCTTGGGTATACCTTGGGATGCGTGGGTCCTCGGCGACTGGGAGAGCAGTGTGCTGGGCAAGTTGCTCAGGCTCCTAGGGTCTTGCTGGTTTTCTCCCTGGATGCTCTTTCTGTTGCTGGAGGCAGAGGAGCAAAGTCCACACTGCATCCTATCTCTGCCTTCACATCTTCACAAGGTGTTGTAGGTTTCAGCGTCGTAACGTTGAGTGCGCACATATTCCCAGCCGGTATAGCCACTTGGTGAACCGTAATGTATTTGTCAGTCACTGTCAGTTGCCTCTGTCAGTTTTAGGCTCAATGGGTGCTTTGGTGCCAGAAGAGCTAGTCCTGTTCTATTATCTTTTCTTTTTGCATGCAACTTGCTTTTCCCCAATGCCTTGCTTTGATCTATGAGTGTGCTTAACTTTGAAGTTAATAGGCATGCGCACGGTATGGCTGCTTCCTTTGCTTGGTGTATTCAGAGCTCTGTCTCAGAATGGATAACTTAATACATTTCTAGTTCAAGGGCTTGTTGGCAGGTCCAGGGGTGCTGCTGTGCTTTTGTTTATTGACTTCTGGGTATTTTGTAATTTTTTTCTTTTGCAATTTTGTTTGTAATTTGATAATTTTCCTTAGTAATAAGCTGTGTTTTTTGTATTTTATCTTTTTTTTTTGTATGTACTACAAATTTTTTGCATTGTGGATATCATGAGGATTATATAAATAGTATTTTTTATTATAGGCTCTTTTAACATGGTAATAACTTAACAGTTTGTTTACATATTAAAACATCAGTTTTTCTTCATCCCTTCAATATTTGTTTTTGGTATCAACCTATAAACAATTAATGTAGCAATTATTGTTATTAGTAGTAGCTATTATTTTTCATAGTTTTTGCATTTAGCCTTCATGCTTGCTGGTTAGAATTTTTTAGAAGTTTCATTTATTCATTTGAAAGGAACAATGTCAGAGGGAGAGATAGAAAGAGCAAATGAGACAAAAATCCTTCATCCACTGGTTCACTTCCGAAGTAGTCACAGGAGCCAGGGCTGGGCCAAGTAAGGCTGGGAGTAAGGAACTTTTGATCAGGGTCAGCCAAGTGTGTGGGAGGGACCCAAGCACCTTGATCATCTTCTGTTGCCTCCCTTGTCGGAGCAACTGAACTTGAATCGGAGCTCTGACCTGGGGTGCAGGCGACCTGGGGTGCAGGCATCCCGGGAGCAGCTTAGCTAACCTTGCAATGCTGACTCCTGCTGGTTGGATTTCCGGAACAGGAATCGTGCACTTGAACTTACCCTTTCTCTTCAAGCTCAGTGAGCAATGGGGACTCAATGCTGAGTGTGTGAGACCTACTCAGGAAGGGACACTTGAGCCAGTGATCACTGATGCTCTGTCCAACGCTGTTGTCGTGCAGCCTGGTCTCTTTAGGTGCCTGTTAATGACATTGTCCCTCTCTTCTCTCTCCCCAACCACAGCGTGTGCATTCCGCTACAATGGGCTCTCCTTTGTCTACCTGGTCTACCTCTTACTCATCCCTCTGTTCTCAGAACCAACAAAAGCCACAATGCAAGGTAAGGCATGTACTACGTAACACCAGAGTTTGTTTCAGTGTATTTGCGTATGTGTGTTTTTCTAATGGACTAGATGTTTTCTGAGCAACATGGGTGGCCCGACAAGGGAGTGCGTGTCAAAGATGTGAACAGCTGCGCCAAACAGAACTGTAGGAAATGTTTGCGATCATTTCTTTTGTCACTTTCCCAGTTGTTTTTCCCGCACAGTTTCACATGAGGTCTTTTTTGTATGCTTAAGGGTGTACATGGAATACTGTATCCAGCTAAAACTGACTCAGAATAGCTTAAAAACACAACAGACAGCCTGCGGTATCGGCATATGCGATCCGCTACTGGGATGTTGGGGAGAAGTCACTGGCAATAGTTAAAGGCAGAGCAGTGCTTGACACTTGTAAGCCACTTAGGATCTCAAGGTAGGAATCCTGTTTCTAGTCCCGCCTTGTTCCTGTGTCAGGTGGGACTTTTGCCTCGACGTCATTAGGGAAGGATGTGATCTGAGCCGGTTTGGCTTCTTAATTTATTGATCGGAAGTTCTCCCACAAGTATAAAAATGAAACCAGGATTACTTCATTTAATAAACTGTTCTTCAAAACCGTTGGCAGTACGAGAAATAGGGACTGTGCCAAATGCCCTGGGTGATTTGAACAACCCCAACGTTCCTATGAAAGGAAACTGCACTTGCCCCACCCTAAGGAGCAGCATGAGAAAGGACCTTGGTGGTGGCTCTCTTGCTGGTGAGGGACTGGGGGAGGCGTAAAGACCGTGGCGTTTGCAGGGCAGCATGTAGTGATGGCATCTTTTCCATTCTCTCCACTCGCCATTCAACTGTAAGACACATGAAGATCTTCAGCTCGGTGCTGGCACAGTAGTAGTCATGTGTCGTGTTGATTTTCCTGTCGCAATACAGGAAACCCTTTATGTTCCTTCAATTCTTACCACATAACCGTAGGAAAGGCTGGAGGAATGTGAGTTTGCATAAACCCTTCTCCCACCCACCAAAGCTCAACTCCTGAAGAGATGAATATAAGCAAGGTGGTTTCAAGTCTCAGCAACCATCAGCTTCTGTCTCGTAACTTGATGCTCATTTTTTCAGAGAAGGTTTTGTGTGAGATCAGCTTTAAAAATGGCCACCTTTATACATTTAATTGCATCATCAGATATACAAGAGAGGAGCAGAGATCTTTTGTCCACTGATTCACTCCTTAAGTGACCTCAACAGTCAGAGCTGAGCCAATCCAAAGCCAGGAGCCCATAGCCTGTTCTGGGTCTCCCATGCGGGTACATGGTCACAAGGCTTTGGGCCATCTTCAACTGCTTTCCCAGGCCACAAGCAGGGAGCTGGATGAGAAACAGGGCCTCCAAGATTAGAACCCGTACCCATATTGGATCCTGGTGCAAGCAAATTGAGGACTTTAGGCACCAGGCTACTGCGCTGGGCCCATATTATCAATTACTTTTGTATCAAGTTGAGCTCATAGTATTTTATTTGGAAGTGAGGTCAGTGGGATCTGCCCCTTTGTACTTACATGGTGGCCTAATGACTTTTCTGTTATTCCAAACTAGTGAGTCCTGAATGTTGAAACAACAGGTGCACCAGGGACTGAGACTGCCAAAAAGTTCATAGGGGAAACGGGACATAAGAAGCAGAAGAAATCCTCTCTAAGTAAAGAAACGCCCTGAATCAACAAGATGCTACCAGGTCAAAAAGCAAATAAAGCACAAGGAAGGGCACAGATGTCCTCCAGTGCTGCTGATGATCAGAAGGGAAAGCAAACAGGGCCGGAAGGGAAACCCACTGTGCCTTTCCAGTTGGAGGCAGCCCTGAGAGAACTTCTTTTCCTCTTTCTGCATTTCAGCATCAAGAAGCATGAGTGATACTCAACCCAGCCCCCTTGGTTTGTTTGCTTCCCTAATTGCACCAGGACTCCAGGAAAGGTTGCCCCCTGTATTTTTTCCCAAGCTTATAGGCTTTATAATTCTCATATTCCTAATAGTCTGTGTATGAGACATTCTGGGTTACGCATCCTTGGTGGTATGAGGTCCTAGGTGGGCCAGTAAAATGGAACCAGCACAGTGGATACACTGGCTTTTCATGGGGACTCTGGTTCAAACAGGTTGGAACTGTTGAATTTTGAAACAAAATATTGTTTGTTTTTCTTCACCATGAATTGGTTAAAAAATATTGGTACATTCAAAGTACTATTGGCAAGCTCTGTATCACCTGCTTGCAGAGAGTCTGTGCCTCAAACAGTGGCTGAGTTTGAACTTTGCCACCAGAGCCAGTTAGTCCGCTGTCCATTGCTGGGACTGCAAACCAGTGTAGACCCCACTTGAACCAGAGAAACAATTGATGTGTGCAAACAGCACTGCGAGTACTTGTCTGATCTGCATTTGGGCTCATGAGCTTTTTTCCTCATTTATGATTTTTTTTTGTCTTGTCAGTTTGCCCATATATGTGCCCAGTATAGATTAAATGTTGATATGGTACGCTGGGGTGTGATTTTTCGATCTTCTTGGGGCAGTGTACTAACCGATTTTTTGTTACTCTAATGAAATACCTTAGACAACCTACTCTAAAGAAAAGGGGTTTACTTAGCTCATACCTCTAGAGATCCAAGGACATAGCTACCTCACCAGCTTAGCTTTGGAGAAGGACTCAGGATGGTGCTGGGAGCATGTGAAAAAAAGCACAGATCATATAGTTAAGATGGGCTGCCGGAGTCTGATTCAGGGATCAGGCTCAGATCCATGAGAGTGAACTCAGAGGTTACTGGAGTACTATTTTCATACCCTCCGAGGACAGAGCACCCAGGGGCCTGGAAACCTCCCACTAAACCCTGTCTTGTACAGGCCCACCACCTTCCCGCATCGCCACGCTGAGGATCAGGCTTCTAACAGGTGAACTCTTGAAGGGACAACCAAGGTCAAGCCAAATCAGGCAATCCAAAAGGCTCTTTAGGAAATGGATATCCACTTAACATAGCTTCTCTTATCCGCAGGGGATAGGTTCAAAGTGGATGTGCTCTAGTGGGTGACTGAAACCACAGACAGCAGCAGGGTGGAGAGCAGGCACTTTGGACCTGCCCTGGTACTGTGTACAGTCACTCCGCCCACCTCCCCTTTGTGCATTTGGAGTTCTCAGGCAAGAGTCTTTCCTCAGTCCCACAAGGTCATCTGGAAGCCTTTCCCACCAGCCTTGGGGTTTGCGCTACCACTTCCAACTCTTCAGTGTGAATTCTTTCACATCCTCCTCATAGGGTGGGAGACACAGGTTAAAAATAAACATGCATTGTCATGGTATTCACTGAATAGTAAGACGGTGTTGCTACCTCGGCTTTTAGGGCATGGAAACTGAGCCATAATTTCATTTCATTAAGTTTATTTAGTGTGTTTGTACCTTCCAGTGGTGTAAACAACAAATTACAAGTATATACCTTTGTTGCTACGGATGCATTTCCAGGGCTCCAGAGAGTGCCTGATCCGCAGTAGCACTCAGTAAATATTTATGGAGTGGATGAATCCATTTGTAGAGCTCAGACTTCCAGGATCATTGGTGGACACAGCAGGAGTCCTTACTCAATCCTTGTAATCACAAACGTCATGGAGAGCTTAGTCTATTGGCTGCTACGGTCTTCTGGGGACAGAAGCTTGGGGTTTAACAGTCCATGGGATTCTGCTATATTAGATTTAATTAAGATGAGAGGATCAGGAGTAATTGAAACAAATCAAGACTGTTGGAAATATTTTATGTTTTTACTCACAACAGTGGGCGTTTTATTTAAACATGTAATTCTGTAGGAAAGGGGATACATGTTTTCTCACTGTTCCAAAGTCATGTGCTTCAGATTCCTGAAGTTGTTTGCCATTAGCTGTAATAAGCACTATATAATTAGCTTCAGGTGGCTCACAAATTGCGAATGCATGAAATATACAATTCTTTTCTAGATCCATGGTAGGTTTCTTATCCTTTATGGTAAATTGAGTGCAACCTGTTAGTCAATAGGATGGAAGCGCTTGGATGGAATGTAAGTGTGGAAACATGTGATCTGGAAGAAGAGCACGGTAAATATTCAATCATTCGTTTTTTTTTTTTAAAGATTTATTTTTATTATGGTTTTTTTATTGGAAAGGCGGATATACAGAGAGGAGAGACAGAGAGGAAGATCTTCCGTCCGATGATTCACTATGCCGATCCGAAGCCAGGAGCCTCTTCCGGGTCTCCCACCTAGGTGCAGGTTCCCAAAGCTTTGGGCCGTCCTCGACTGCTTTCCCAGGCCACAGGCAGGGAGCTGGAAGGGAAGCGGGGCTGCCGGGATTAGAACCGGCACCCATATGGGATCCCTGCATGTGCAAGGCGAGGACTTAACCACTTGCGCCACCGCGCTGGGCCCAATCATTCGTTTTGAAGTACAGCACTGATTGCTCTGAAAGCTAGGAGGAGCGAGATGTTGAAACTTCAGTCTTGGAAGGATTAGAATAGCTTTTTATGAGCACTTTCTTTAGAGAAAAACTCTGCAATTCCTACGGCTCGTCTTCTGTTAGACACAGCTGATGCTTCTGACTCTCAAACAATGTTTTCGATTAGTTGACCTGCTAATAGAAATCCAGTTCCATTGCTAAGTACATATTGTTATCATTCATACTTAGTAATCCTCACAGTAAACATTTGCAGGAGTTGCTATTACTATTCAACACTCTTACCGAAATTCTAAACTTACAGAGGGAGACTGGGTTCCACAGCGGGCTAAGAGCAAACCCCAAGACTCACAGGTGCACGCTACTTCCCACTGTGTGGTTCTGACTTATACCCTGGGTGAAGTTAAATATCCTGGGAAATTGCAAGGGCAGAAGGAAAGCTAATCATGTCATAAATAGCTGTTGGCTGATAGTTTACCAGGCTCTGGACCGTAGTGTGTGTGGAAATTACAAGTTCTTGAAAGGAGTTATTCACTATGCAATGGGGTAGATGAATGACGTATGTGTATGAAATCAAGAAAACA